AATTACAAATATCTACGATTGAAGGAGATTGTGGGTGAAGAATATGGTCTATGAGGATTGCGATACATCGTTGGCAAAAAGATTGAAGACTGTGAAATATAAATTTATCCTACCTCCGGTTCTTAATATAGAGTCTTATTTGATTTTTATTTTGATCTTAAATGTAAGACCCTAATCCATTTTGTTTTTTATATTTAAATATTTTTTCCAATATAATCCTTTTAACAATAGTAGTTATAGCCAATACACTTGATTAACAATAGTATTTAAGGAAAGACAACACATATTTATTACAAATAACTAACTTGACTTATTTTCTTAATCTCCTCAAACTAGTCAACTAGCTCTTATAATTAAGACCAGAGGTAGTATGTATTTGTTTTAATTTCATGCTATGCAAAATAAAATGTACTCAGTGGAGACTAAAAGCGTGCATAACATTTGTTCTTTAAAACATTTAATATTTAATTTTTATGGTATTGTATACATCAATAATCTATTCCCCGAATTACAAAATACAAATTTTGATAGATGAGATTTATTTACACAGGGCTTATTTAAATCTTTTAATTGAAAAGGCAGACAAAAATATTATCATATGTATTTTAAATTTGTTTTATGTTTTCAGCTTCTTTTTTACCTAATATTTTTCCTTTTTTTTCTTTCCCGATATAAAATGACTTACGCATTCAAACGGCTATGTGTTATCCAGTCCGCTTTTTCAAATGAAATGAGCTGATAACGCTGGAGAAGAAGACAATATCCAGACGCCACAACCTCTCGTGATTTTATCCTCTTCTTGTTTTTCTGTAAATAGATCCCAACAAAACCGCATTATTGCCAGCTTGATTCATCATTATTGACTAATGTCTCCGACTCCATATTTAGTTTTGTTGATAAATACACAGTGGGCTTCTATGATTCCACTAAACAGGGTCCAATTTAGTTTGGGATCCAGAATTTTTATCATTCCATCAAATACTCCTCCGATCCTTAATATAGGACCCAATTATTGAGTTAGTTTTAATCCTAAATATAAAACTCATTTCTCATATTTATTAATTTTTTTTAAATTACCCTTATGGATACTCCCTCAACCATAATCAAATAGAAGAAGGAGAATGGTATTAAGAAAGATGATTATGGTGTTTTAGAAAAACGTGTTACATTTTTTATAATTAACTAACTTACCTAACTTCATTAATATAATCAAATTAGTTAAATAGATATTATATTAAAAATCGGATTCATATAATATAAGCTCGAAACATTCTCATGACCTCAGGGACTTTTGAATCTAGAATAATAAGTCTGTTTTTTTCCACGAAGGAGGTCATAAGTTTGTGTGGGTATGTTTGTGTTAGAATAGGTTTAGCTTCCTAACAGATTTAGGTGTAGCAGAAAGAACTAAAAAGTCTGAATACCTATTAAAAAAAAAAAGGCTCATATTTAATACTCCTCCGGTCCTTAATATAGACCCAATTCTTGAGTTGGTTTTGGTCCTAAATATAAGACCCTTATCATATTTATCAATTTTCTCTAAATACCCTATGAATACTCCCTCAACCGTAATCAAGTAAAAGAGGGAGATGGAGTATTAAGAAAGATGATTATGGTGTTTTAGGAAAAATGTGTCACTTTTCTTATAATTAACTAATTTACCTAACTTCCTTAATCGAATCAAATTAGTTAAATAGGTCTTATATTAAGGATCGGAGGAGTACTTAATTATAAAGTGATATATGCATGGTGTTATTTATTAAAGAGATGGGAAATATATGTAAGCAGCACGCGCTGGGGAAGCACGTGAACGCGCGCATAAGCAAGAAACCGGGCGTCGCACGCAAGGGGTGGAGATTTATGAAAATGATAGTTTGTTGGTGGTATTATGATAAGCTTTAAGTAGCTAATTCATAAATAACAAATAATTAAGTAAAATTAGTTAAAAATAAAAAATAGGTTAAATATTTTATTTTATTTTCATATATAAAAAAAATGAGAGAGAATATATAAAAAACGTGCCAAATGGTAAAACAAACCTAAATTAAAATTTATAAAATGAATTATATCTCTCTTTAAATTTGAAGTTTATATATTATCTCTGGTTTTTAATATAAAGACTAGTTAACTAATTTAAGTAAATTAAAAAAATTATTTAAGTTAATTATTTATAATAAATAAATATTGTCTTTCTTAAAATGTTCTTGCTAATAATTAGAATTACTATTATTATAATAACTATTTAAAAAAGACGAATAAATATAACATATAAAATAAATTAAAATTTTATATTTAAAATAAAAATAAAAATTAAATAAACTCTTATATTAAAAAGAGCGGCGGGTACACAGGAGAAGAGACTAATCGGGGGCCAGTTTGATTTTAGGACGCGTCTCGCGCACGACCTTTTACCCTGTTCATACTCGCATATACCACTGCATTTCATTTGTTTAATATTTTTTTCAAAATAAAGAAAAAAGAGGTGATCATTTTATGTATCATAAAAATGATACATAAAATGAAAGGAGGGTGTGTGGCTGGAAAAGCAAGGAAAGTGAATGGCGGATGGGGATGCCTAACTTTGTTGACCCTACGACCTAACATGCCATCCATTGGGCCGTTCCACTTCACTTGCATCATTATGTTTATGAGTTACAATACTGGGAAAGCATAATTTCAAATACAACAATAACAATTAAAAAGGGTTATAATAAGGCTTTAAGAAAGGATGCAACGCCTTGTTCACGCTTTTATTTTCGCTTTCATCACACACTCGTGCGAGGTTGTGGGCGTCCGTCCCCTAGCAAAACATGTCTTGTTTGTAATTGGGTTGTTATACAGACACACACACACACGGGGGAAAATGATTAAAAAAAATTAAAAATTATGAAATCCTAATTTAGACACCTAACGCTTCAAAATCTGAGAGAAGGAATGATACCTGATATGATATTTTGTAAATGTAATTAAATAACTAAAATGTTCTTGTTTCAAAAAGTTTATTAATAAGTTGTAAATGTTAAATAGCAAATGATAAAAAATCTACTGACAATGATAAGCTATTTATTAATAAGTAGCAATCACAAGTTTTAAATAATAAAAGATAAGAAATGTACTAATAATGATAAGTTTGAAATAATGGCATTTTAGTCATTTAACTACATTTCTAAAATACCAAATCAAACAATACTTCTTTTTCCAAGATATTGAAGTGTTAGATGTCTGATTTGAAATTTCACAATTTCTAGTTTTTTTTTTTTTGTCTTCTTCCCTATATATACACACACCTTCGAAAATACCAAATTAATTCATTAAAAAATCAATATTGTTTTTATATTTATTAAACCATAGTAGGTCCGGGGATCCTCACTGACCCAAAACGAAATAACCATATAAACCGCGTCAATCCTATAATTTTAATTTTCCTTGATATACTAATTAATAGTCAATGATTAATGGGTCCTCACTCATTTGTGCAGACAATTTTGTTGACTTTCGGGTACCAAACCAGGTAGTGACGATGGTGAGGTCCAATTCAAATGTCCAGATCATTTCAATTACATGTAGGCCCACCACAACCACCTAAGGGGGCGGGGGCCTAATTTTCCACTATCTTGCAGTTTTGTGCATAGTTAAATAAAAAAGATTAAAGAATTAGAAAAACATGCTATTAGATATAGCTGACTTTAATATAATTTGTCAAACGTAAATTACAATAGTAGTATTTAAGATTTTATTTTTCACATCTAAAATTACCCAACCAGGAACAACTCATGTTTCTCACCAAGTAAATAACAAGATACTCTCAAAAAGTCAGCGAAAAAGAAAGTCTTAAAAAAATATTCCTATCATATTTATCTTGACAAAAAAAAAACACTTTAATTGGCACGCTGCAAATACATTGTTTTGACGCAATTAAAAAAGAATTGAAAAAGGGAAGTAGCGAGAGCAGGTCAAGGAAGAAAACGAAAAGAAAAGGATAAGAATGGAAGAAGACACTAACCCCAAACAAGGTTTTGAAGAAATGGTACTTGGAGCCAATAAATAATTTTATATATATTTACAGGGACAAAAAAGAGGACATAGCAAAGCGATAGACATGAAAAGCTAAGGAGGTTTGGAATATTTGGGCATTTATTTAGTTTTAAACTTGGCACTCGACAAAGCAAACTTGGTTTGCATGCCAAGAGAAGTGAAAGCAGACGCAACTGGACAGGTCAACATCCTCGTTTTGATTCCCTCGCAAAACATAACTTGGGTTCAAAGATAAGAAAACGCGACACAAAAACAAAGTACCACTTGTTTCTTCATCCTCCTTTTTTTTTTTTCAATTACTATATATTTCCGCTTCACATACGCAAACCCTACCCTGCACATTCTAAATACATAATAACTAAATCAAACAGGAGTTAGTTTGAGTAATAAGCGACTTGGTTCCGCTTAAGTGAGGTCTTGAGTTCGATTCCTCATAGATGCAGAAAACCCCCGCTGGAGACTCATCCAGGTACGCGACGCGGGTCGGATCCGGACATAATCAGAACAAAACTCTGGTGAATCGGGAGAGGAACAAAAAAAAAATCAAACGGGCCAGTAATCTATTAATGCTTGCTTTCACATACCAAATACCTCTTAAAGTAAAATTCATACTTGACTTCTTCATCTCCCAGTCGTTGGGTATTTGTGAGCTCGTCATCACTCAAAAGTCAAAATTATAAAAGCAACATTATTAAAGCTTGGCTCGTAAGAAACACGGACAACCCACTTCCCTGTTTTAAAAAATCTCTATTCTAGAACGCCATTGACATCACCCGACCAAAAAACCCACCGTTTCTTCTTTACACAAGGCGAATAAAATAGAACCTCAACCTAACAAGTGGCTATCTCTATCGGCTTAGCCCACTAAGCTGGCATTGGATGCCCACTTCTTCCCAATTAACAGGTTCACACCCCACCAGTTGTGATTAATTAACTCTTTCCTTTAAGAATAGCAGTGCTGTGCAGAGCACCAAAATTAATTAATTAATTACTTAATAATGATGATTCGTCATGCTGTCTAATATTGAGATTCCAAATCTTCAACTCTATCATCATATTCATGCTTTTCTAGATCAAAACCAAATTTACAATCCAGCCCCTTCAACTCCCCCTTCTCATCACCTACCCCACAAAAAACCAAAAGAGACAATGCTAAGAAAAGAAAAAAGGAAGTCATATCTGCCCTAATCTTGTTCGGTTCCGTCACCAGTCACCACCGCCACCTCACGTTGACTCGAACACCAAACCCATATTCCCGGCCATGTTCTCCTGCATCGCACCCTGAATCACATGTCGGTGCTCCCCCTCGTATGTCACGACCAGCATCGTCGGGTCATCGGTCGCCCGTTCCACATGTTTCCTCGCCGGACACCCTCTCACTGTGCTGCACTTGTAGTACCCTCTGTTTCCACATCACAAAAACAAATAACCACAGCAACGTCAGAGAGCTTGCCACCTGTAATCAGATCGACGGCTAAAGTTCAGCTCACATGTCACTCACCGTGGGTATGGTGACCCCTTGATCGGCTTCTGACCGTACTTCCTCCACGAGAACTCATCGGGCGGAATGTCCGCTATCTTGGAACTTACCGCCGGCACCCTCACCGTCTTCTTCACCCGATTTTTCCTGGATTTAATGAAATTTATTTCGAATAAATCAGTTTTAGTGTGAAATAAATAAATTCAATGAGATGAATTAAATTACAAAATGCGCCGTTGTTGCTAACATGAGCCGGGGGTGTTATTAGGAAGGTCAACAGTCAAAGAAAATGAAGATAACGACAAGAGGTTATTATTTTGGTAAGTTTGAATTTTTCTGATTTCACAGCATCTTCTCAATCATAAAGGCAGCATAAAACAGGACCCTATGTCTTGTCACTTTCACGCGTGTTCTGTTTTTAATGACTTTAACTGCACCATTACCCAAATCGTTGACTCCATCCTCCCGACTCGTCCACACACGACCGAGTCCACTACCCAAGACTCGCTTCCATAACCGTTTACTGAGTTGACGAGTCAACTCGGAGCCGAGAACGGGCCAAATGGGGGAAAGAGAGAACTGAAAAAGTGAAAAGCTTTCACAGCGTACCTTCTCTTAACGCAGTGACATTTGCCGGAGCCCGAGACCTCGTCGGAGCGATCGCGGTGGTCATGACATCTTTTCTTGAACGATCCAGAGGAAAGAGGAGGCTTCCCACCGGACGCCGTCGGTGCCGCCGGAGTCAAGAAGAGAGACGAGCCTTGCTTGCCGTTCGAAACGCTGCCGTCTCCGGTAATGGCGGACGACATAAACGACGAGTTTGACGAGACGCTAAAGGTTTCCTTGGAGAACTCCAACTCCAAGGGTTTAGTCTTGGAGCTGACGATATTGGGCTTTGTAAAATCAAGAGTCAAACTCTGCGGCGCCTGTGACGGAACGAAACTAGAAGGCGCGTGCTGCGCAGGGGCCTGACTTACAATAGGACTCGGAGACACGGTGGCCGGAGAGGTGAATTGCGCCGGAGATAGACTAAATGAATGCATTTGAGAAACCGAGGCGGAGGACGGAGATGGAGCGGTAGCAGAAGACGAGGAGGAAGGAATGGGGGCTCGCCTGAACCGGGCGTGACCGGTCCGGTTGAGGAGGGAAATGAGCTTCTTGAACTTCGAAACGGTGAGGTCCGTGAGGTCGGTACAGTCCAAGCGATTGGGCTGGTGAGAGAGAAGACGGATCAGGTGCTCCATGCCCCTGAGGCCTTCCGACGCAGCCTCCTGGATTGCCTTCTGCTCGTCGATTTTGGGGAACCCCATAAGCTCCACAGCCATCACAGCTACGAAACAGAGAAAAGAGAAATCCTGAGAACCGAAACTTAGACGGTCATAGGAAGAAGACGAAGGAGCAGACGCAGAAGGAGACGCGGATTGAGATTTGAGAGGGGAAAAGAGTAAAGGAAAGAGAGGTAAGGGGAGAAATATATCGAGGGTTCGCGTCACCGGACGACCGGGTCATAGAGAAGAGGAGAGAGACGGGTTTGACTTAAACCCGATTTTCTTAGTCTCTCCGCTAAGGTGATTTTTAGAGATTCCATATATTTTCTGTTTATTTTATAAAATCGCTGTCAGCTTTATTCTGCGCATAGCGTATTCCTGTGAATCATCTCTATTGAATTTTTTAAGTAGGAAACATAAATTAGCAAAATGATTGAAATAATTAAGGTTTTTTTTTTGCCGAAATAATTAAGGTCTTTGAGAGGGTTTGAAAATTAACTTTTTTATGTTAAGAGGATTAGTAAATTGGTTTGGCTGTCTTTGATTGCTTCTGCTTGAGGGCTAAAAGCAATTAAAAAAATTAGAAAATTGTCTAGATGTTTGGAATAACGAGTGATATCTTGTCTTTTAAGAATAAATTAATATTAGGCCCTCTGCATTTGGAAAAAATTAAAAATTGTTCATATGTTACAAGTAAAAATTTGACTAAACAATAAAGATCGTTGAGTTTAATAATGTTAGATGTGCTTTTTATGACATCAGATTTAAGATTCAATTGCCAACTCAAAATTACCTGTCACCTGAATTAAAGAAATAAAAAAAAATGAATGTGTTTATTGTCATTAGTAGAACTCATTATGTGGTGAGATTACACTGTTTAAAAAACGTCCACACGTTACATGGTACATATAAAAATTTGACCAAACGATAAAGATTATTAAATGTAATGACGTAAGAATCGTCAAATCAAATTTTGCCTGTCACCAAATTTTTTTCCGAAAAAATGACCAAATATCAATATTATAGAGCTTATTGTCGTGGTGCAGTGAGATTAAGTTGTACTCTTCCGGTCCTTAATATAAGACCTATTTAACTAATTTGATTAGATTAAAAAATTAGGTAAGTTAGTTAATTATAAAAAATGACATATTTTTCCTAAAACACCTTAATCATCTTTCTTAATATCCCATCTCTCTCTTCTACTTGATTATGGTTGAGGAAGTATCCATATGGGCAATTTAGAGAAAATTGATAAATATGAGAAATGGGTCTTATATTTAGAACCAAAATCAACTCATGAATTAAGTTTTATATTAAGGACCGAAGGAGTATTTGAATCATTTATTTTTTTAAATTTTCAAGCGATGGTTTTTAAGCAAAAAATTCTTTTAAAAAACATACATGATATTTATCTCATTGAACGTGAAATAAATATATTAATAATGTTAAAATGTTAATATTTCTTAAACTTAACTGCCACACTTCAGAATGAACCGTCCAGCCCCACTCTCATATATTTCGGGAAAACCATAATTATTTGAAATTTTAATATTTTAATTACTTATATATTGGGACACATAATCCTTTGATCCTTTCTAATTCAAGGACTGACATCGCCTCGCCATGAGGCTGCTTTCGACCTTGCCTTTTTCTGTATAATAAATTAAAAGGACATATTTATAATTGACTTGTTCATTGCTTCGGTTTATTACTTTCAGTTTTTTTAATCCAAACTTATTCAAGAGTGAAGATAGTTGACACGTCTAGAAGAACTGGTGGGGCACGTGCAAAGCTCACAAAATTGGACAACCAATTCAGTTGTTTTCTTAGGTTATAGCCCAAAGGTTAGTTAGTGGAGTTGAGTGTAATTTTGCCTCACCCGGTGGGAAAAATGTTGTCTATGGACTTGGTAAACCAATATTTCCTCATTTGAAAAAAAAAGGTTTGATAAAATCACAGGCCACGTGACTAATCAGAATAATTATTATTGTAATTATAATTAAGATTATACTATAATTATAATTCTATGAATAAAGTAAATCTGACAAAACTGTTGACCTTCTTTTGTTTTCTTCTTTCTTTATAGTTTATCTTATTCATCGCCAACACCTTCTGTAGCCGGTGACTTCTGGACGAAACCTAAGCCGTAAGATCACCTCATTGTAATCTGACGGCCGTTATTGTTGGGAAGAGTTGACTAAAACACAGCCCTTTTTATTTCTTAATTGCGGATTCCCTCAAAGCAGATTGAGCCAGTCTGATATTGCCACGTGGTGACAACACTTTTAAAAGTCATCAATATTAGCTGGAGTCAGTAGGCATAAAAATAAATCACGAACGATCATCGTGTATTGTCTTTTTACAAAGTCTTAATCTGAAAATAATGTTTAATATTATTTTTTGTTTTATTTGAATCATAATAGTATTTTTAAAGGCATTAAAATGCTGTTTGCAATAATGAATAGTGAATTCAATAAAATACATCGATATTAAATTATTACTAATACATTTTAATACATTTATGAAGGTAGGTTTTCTTTATTTTCCTTCCCGAGTACATGAGCACTGTGTTTACGGATACATTAGTTGCAGAGTACAAGAACGTCAACTTTAAACATCAGGTGAAAAAAACAAGTTGCAATATTTGTGGCCGTATAAATATGTTACATTTATTAGTTAAAAGATAAAAAGGGAACCAAATTCAATATGTAGATTTATTTTAATAACTTTCAATATGTTTATATAAGAATGTAAATGATCCGATTTTGCGGGAAAAAATGATCTGATTTTTTTAAAATCCAAATCAACACAGAATTCGGGAGATAATCACTGAACTGCAGAAGAAATCTGGTGAATATTAATAGAGCTGAAAGCATCTGGCATCCTTTTTAAAATTAAATTTAAATTTCTATACTGAGAAAAGCATAATTATTCCCCGGGAACCATTAAACTTGCCTTAAAAAAAAAAAAAAGCTCACGATTCTCTCGCAGCTTTTAATATTAGTACTCATCCGATCCTTAATATAAGACCCATTTAACTAATTTGATTAGAAAGGAAGTTAGGTAAGTTAGTTAATTATAAGAAATGTGACATATTTTTCCTAAAACACCATAATCATCTTTAATACCCACTCTATTTGATTATGGTGACGGAGTACATATGATTTAGAGAAAAATGATAAATATGAGAAAAAGTCTTATATTTAGGACAAAACCAACTCTATAATTGGGTCCTATAAAACGGAGGAGTATAACATATGAATGGATCAATGGTTGGGCAAAAAAAAAAAAGGAACGGATATCGATCATGACTTGATATTAAAAAAAAAAATCCAATCAACTCAAATTTTGTGGAACGGCTTTGAAAAAAATAATGTCAATGGATATTTTCATGGTTAAAGGCATATGGCATAATTTAAATATGTGGAAAACAAGTGGGACATATTTCGCTTCTAGAAGAACAATTTTTTATTACTCGTGGACTCTTAAATTTGTATAAATAATCCTGAAAGTTGAAATCAACGTGGCTATTATAGTTCCATAGTTTGAAATTCTCGGATCTCGACTTTAATATATCTAATTGGAATTAGGACCAGATAAGGTAGACAAATAATTACACAATTATTAATTAATTAATTAACTAATAATGGTTCTGACCTAAGCCCGTGAATTTGGCCACTTGGGTGGCAAATATCCTGCGCATCTCTCCAGGGCAAATTTTTTAAGGTCAAATGACGGCCAGCTCCTGATTTAAAATTTAATGACATCTATGTCCTTTCAATATTTTGTAAGGCTCAATGTATTTGACCATCGATTGATTAAAAAATATTTATGGATAAAAATATCCTCGCTCAATTATATAGATACCAGAGGATTGGTCGTGGCTCATACAAAATATAATCATTTGCATATAATATCAGCCCAGTATATAACTAATGATGTGAAAGCTCAATTTGATATTATGTGCAAAAAACAGGTTTTTATGAATTTATATGCTTCGTGTTTAATGTGATTTACAATTAGAATCTTCAGTTACGTTGCTTGCCAAGCAATTGGTTTTTCGTAGGTCAAGCCAATTGAGAGCCTCATGGCTCATTCAGTCCATAATATAAATACTACATCCGGTCCTAATTATAAGACCTAGTTGATTAATTTGAGGAGATTAAGGAAGTAAGTTAAATTAGTTATGTATGATAAATAAGTGTTGTCATTCCTAAAACATCCTTACTAATTAAGTGTATTGGCTAGAACTATCATCATTAGAAGGACTATCTTGAAAAAAATGCATAAATATGAGAGACAAAATAGATTAGGGTCTTATAATTAGAACCAAACTAAAAATCAAACAGGTTCTTATATTAAGGACCGGAAGCAGTATGATTTAACAACCATAGTTAGACAAAAAGAAATACCACTGAACATTTGTAAATCACTTTAAACATGTTTTTTTCCCTAGAAAATCAATATTATATTAATTATAATTAATTCTTTAGGTATAATAAATAATAAATATTTAATATTTATATAATTAAGGGAAAATGACTTATATCGTGAATTAAAAGGTGAGGGTGATTTTAATAGGTCTGTGATACTCGAGTGTCATTATTTTTTAAACAAAGGGCTCGATAGTCATTTCAGTTCTCGGGTATATCTAGAACTTTGATTTTAAAATTAATATTATGAGCGCACTTAATATAACTTTGAATGCACTGAATTTTAATCATATCTCTGATTTCAAATCTAATTTGATTAGTCTGACTAGGATTGATCATCTTCTTGTTCAAATAATATGCAATTATTTACGCGGATGTGAAATCTCGCCACGCGTTATTGGGTATTTCACCTAATAAAATAGAGAGGGGAAGATATTTTTTAATCTTATTTATAGGATATTAAGAGGAATTCTTTGGACGTGTGTACAATTTTACTTTTATTTATTATTGTATCAACTATTAACTTTATTTACATGAGATATAATGTATATTACCTCCGATCCTAATTATAAAAGCTAATTGACTAATTTGAAAATATTAAGGAAAAAGTTAAATTAGCTATTTGTAGTGAATAAGTGTTGTCTTTTCTAAAATATTCTTACTAAGTAAATATGTTGGCTATAATTATCATTATTAGAAGGATTACTTTGAAAAAAAATGTATAAATGTGAGAGATAA